AGAAAAGGTAGAAAAAAGGTGAGGTGAGTCGTCGAATTTGACATAGAGAGAGGTGATGATAGTTTGAAGTGAGAAGTCAACTGCCGGTTTATAGACTTTTTGCCGTGTGAGTATACGTTGCATAGGGTGCACCACGTGGAGGTACGTCTATCGCACACCCCAATTGCTCAAATATAGGTGCCCTAAATCTACATGATTAATATATATATATATATATATATTTCAAATGACAGGCGGTTTCACAGCTATCATTAGCCCTTAAGCTGACTTCGGGCTTCACAGAGAGGAGGAGGAACATCAAAGTGACAAAATGGTCGATAGGGGGAACAGATAAGAGATCCACTGATGTAAAAGAGATAGACAGACAAAAAGGTAGAGGAAAGGTGAGGTGAGTGTTGTGGAAGTGGTCGAATATGACATAAAGTGGGGTCCTGGTGATTTGAAGTCAGAAGTCAACTGCCAGTTAATAGACTTTTTAGCCGCATGAGTATACGTTGTCCAGAGTGCACCACGTGGAGGTAAGTCTATTGCACACCCCACATGATTAATATCTTCCATTATTTCCAAGAGAGATGCAACTGGCAGTAAAAGGGGGGAGATAGGACTTTGAGTCGGTAGCGCAGTGATCAACGCACAGCTCTGCCGTGCCAGTGAGCTCATGAGTACTTCTTATCGGAGTTAATTCAGTGATGTGAATAACCAGCCGCACTCCTGATTAATACGGTGGGCTGGCGTGGCGGGGGAGGGGAAGGGGAGATACAGGACAAACCCATGTTTCAATTGTCTTCTCTCCATCTAAGACAAACCTAACTTCAAATGGCGTATATTGATGAACCGGGGGGGGGGGGTTGGTACGGATGAAATTTGGAATTACAAATAAAACACTTATAATTCATCTAGCCTAACAAACAGCGCTGATAACGAGTAAGTATTAATATTGCTACTAAAGAATTCTTGCATGATACTCTTATATGCAATGATATGCGCTCAATAACTTTTCAAAATTTGAGGTATTTATTAATTGAATTTCGTTTCAATTGTAGTATAGTTATCTATTTTATTATAATAAGAGCATTATTAAAATTAAGACTGGATTTACATTCAATCTTCCCTAATCGAAAACAGGTGATATTTTAAATATATGTAGTAAGTGGTTGAAAGTCGGCTGAATTTTTTTCATGGCAAGTGTTTTAAAACACGTCACTAGTTAAATAACGCATTATTTGTTTAAAAAAAGAGCGCCATTACCTCACAACACCAGGTTCAAATGCACAAAACCCCAGTTCTCCCTACTCATTCCCCTGGAGTTCTGCTTGCCTTTATGTTCCAAACATTTCACCTAGAGGAAGTTAGCTGAGACTAGCACCAATTTCTTAACACGACATAACTTACCGTATAGAAAGATTTATTTCTTCCTTTTATTTTGCAATTATAGTTACAATTTCAGGAAGGAAGTAGCATAATTGCTAATTATTGTGATAGAGTTGGACGCTGGCGTCGTACACTCCACGCACTCTATCTCAATTGCCACACCCTGGATGTCGACCCCAACATCAGTCAACGCGCAGTCTCCCTAGAACTCTTCGCCTATCTCAACGAACGTCATGATGAAGTGATATGTCATGATTGTTTTGCTGCGGATATCAAATCTCAACTCTCAGGTGCCGTAATTGTCGTGCATTCGGCTCAAACCTATCCCGAAATCAATAAAGAGGGAATCAACGTTCAGCCAGGCACTCTTACTGAAATTAAATTCAAGGCTATTGAAAATATTCAGAAGGAGCCACCCTATGGTCGATGTGATCGAGACACTAAAACGGAGATTCCAAGCTACGATGGTGCTAGCTATGCCTACTCAGAATATGGTTGCCGGATGTATACAATTCAGGTGAGCATTCCTTTTAATTTTACGTAACCAAAGAAAACATCCCCTACCATTCTTGATCAAATGGAAACCTCCTTACAGGAGGAATGGAAGTTCGAATCAATAATTTCAAGAGATTTATTCAAAATTCAGAGCCCTTAAAAAAATTGCTAAGATGACAAATCGGTCAGGTCCACTTAGACATGTTTATTTTCAAAAAGTGCTATTAATTAGCGCCACCCAAGATGTCTTGATTTGAATCGTCTTGAAAAAAACATAGGCAATAACAATCCCCTAAAGTGAGCAAGTGCACTTTTGATCCAAACTTGCCCTTTTATCTAGATTTACTCATAATGGTTCACTAATGTCAATATATTTTAAACTATTGCTTTTCAATAAGTATAAAATACTGTTAAATATAAAACGCAAATGGCACTCAATTTCACTATTTCCCATAAATCACGTCCTGTCACCAAATCTTGTTCACACCAGAAGTTGGGTGAAAACTATATCGGTAATCATGATGGCATTTTGACGTTCCTCAGCAGACAGGGATATGTTATTATTTTCTACTTAAGTATCCTCGAAACTTAATTAGAACGACGCATGGTTAAGTAGAGGAATACAGACGAGTTGTTTATGCTAATAATTTCATTTGAATATTTCTTAATCTCTGCGTATTTTTCAATGTGACCATTTTAAGAAGTACCGTCAAAAATGATGCCTGTGGATTGATTTTGTCAGTAATCAAGGCTAGTCGCATTTAAAAATCATGATTTATTTTTTTAATTTTCTAGCTTTTAAACTTTCTTTCCAAACTAATGATAAGAAAGACATCTCTAGGTACTGCCTTGAATCTCTTGTCTGAATCTGAAATTCTAACTCAGTAACACCCTTCTCCATTTGAACACTATGTCATTATAAATGTGACTGAGGTCGTTTAATAGCATCTGATATGCTCAATGAATGTTTTAAATAGGTACCTTAAATAAAGTCACTCCTGTAAAGAAGTATGCATTTGTTAAACTTATTTATTTATTTCAAATGGCAGGCGTTATGATAGCTATCATTAGCCATTTAGCTGACTTCGGGCTTCACAGAAGGAAGGTTCATCAAAGTAGCAGAAAGTCGATGGGTGGGGATCAGAAGAGCGTTTCACAGATGTAAAAGAGGCAGATAGACACAAAGGTAGAGAAAAAGGTAAGATGAGTACTGTGAAAGGGGCCGAATACGACAAGCAGTCGGGCCATAGTAGTTTGAAGTGAGAAGTCAACTGCCGGTTAATGGACTTTTTTGCCGTATAAGTATACGTGGCCCAGGGTGCACCACATGGAGGTAAGTCTATCGCACACCCCGCATTTGTTAAACTAAATTTTGTGCTAATGGGCACATACCTATACACCAAGCATGTGATTGAAACAATAGCAATAATCGCCAGATAGTAAATGGATTCCTCTTTACTGTATAATACTGAGAGGTTTCAGAGATTGCTTCCATGTATAAAGTCTGCCATCCTNATATATATATATATATATATATATATATATATATATATATATATATATAATTTTATGACTTAGACTGCAAAAAAATTTTACTTGAAACTTTAAACGCGTTTTTCTCAAAACAGTTTTTTGAATCTGATACCCACTATTTCTCAGATTCTGCCTAACCGATTTACTTGAAATTTTTAGAGAGTCTTCTTTAAAAACTTGGCTATGTTCGGAACAACGCCAATCTAAAAATTTCGATTTTTATTATTTTTAAAAATCAAAGAATTTTCAAAAAAGTGGTACACAAATGGTTTTTTATTTAGACAGTCGCCATTTTGTAAAGAAATATAGTTACAACTTGTCCGTAGTTCCGGACATTGCGCCATCATTGTAGATTGAAAATCTTTTTTATTTTTTGATTTCAGATTACTTGGAGGGCTAAAATCGGGAGTTTGGTCATGTACCATATTTTGGGGACGCCCCACTCCATCAGCTGATAAATAACAAAATCTAAAATTCATTTATTTTTTAGTTTTTTGTATGCTTCTAAGGTGAATAAATAAAATATAAAAAAAGTGATAATAAAAATATTGCTTGTTATTTTTTGCAGCACTTCAAAAATGACCTAAATTCCATGTCTCTAGACCAGAATACCCCCTTGACGAAATTGTTCGCAGTTTTGTGAAACGATAATAATAAGTAGCTATTTCTATATACTACATGACCTTTATAACTATTAAGGTTATACGCGTCTCATTCTGAATGTCACCGTGTTAATGTGCTGAAGTTATTCTTAGGGTATTTTGAAATTTTTTATAAGGCGGCATATTCCTTGACCCTTGTCAAACTATTGAAACAGCATTTCAGACTAAAATGATCCCGAGTAGAGATTTATTCTAAAGATACTTAGTGCAAGTTTTTGTGCAATTCTCTGCAGCCAATGGAAGGTACAATCATGAAAATGACAACACATTTGTTCTTCATCAGCTAATTTTACAGAAAGACTTCACTAAAAGAAAACACTAGTAGTTAGATAATAAATCATAATATAACGTAATTCGTTCAAAAGGCCAATCACAAATGGCTTTTTATAATTTAAAACTGAAAATGCTTGAAGAAATTAAACTTAATGCGGTTAGAATTGTGTCCATGAATACCTCCACAACTGAACTCAACGTTTAATTCGGCCAAAATTTATTTTTAAATTTAATGTAGTGTTTTACATTTGGCTATATTTCTTTTTTTGGCTCATAACAAATGAGTGGCTCAGTCGTTCACTTTGCGCTAGTGCTTTCCACCTGAAAGAGCCTTTATATTCACAATCATAAACTTAACGCTTATTAGAGATATCAAAAATGCATGGCTTAGCCATGCTCTAATAAAGGCCATTTTTTGCAATTTTTCGCCTTTTCTATAATTTAAAAAAATACGTTTTAATATTTCGTTCCCTAAGAGGTAATGCTATCATTTGATGTGGCAATTTCCTGAATAAAATACACCCATCCGTCCCAAATCATATTTCCCTGCAAGTTAATGACAACTTTACCCCCCATTGAGATTATTTTTATTAAAGTTAGCATTATTTATTTATTTCAAATGGCAGGCGTTTTGATAGCTATCATTAGCCATTTAGCTGACTTCAGGCTTCACAGAGGGAAGGTTCATCAAAGTAGAAGAAAGTCGAGGGGTGGGGTACAGAAGAGCGATTCACAGATGTAAAAGAGGCAGACAGACACAAAGGTAGAGAAAAAGGTAAGATATGTACTGTGAAAGGGGTCAAATATGGCAAGCAGTCGGGCCATGGAAGTTTGAAGTCAGAAGTCAACTACCGGTTAATAGACATTTTTGCCGTATGTGTATACGTTGCCCAGGGTGCACCACGTGGAGGTAAGTCTATTTCACACCCCAGTTAGCATCATTATTTATAAAATTTGANTATCTATCTCAGAATTCAATCCCACTGAGCCAAGCGATATCTAGTGTGCACGTAGATTATGACGGCAGAAGCTGGGAGCAGTGTCAACCGTGATCGCCTTAAATGACTTTTGATTTTGACATACGAACCTACCACGGAACTCCAACGTTTCCACTACCTTCCTGATTTTTGAACTTGGAATGAAGGTCAAGCCTTAGTGAAAATACATTGCTACACATGCGTATGCATCGATATTTATTTATTTATTTCAAATGGCAGGCGTTTTGATAGTTATCATTAGCCCTGGAGCTGACTTCGGGCTTCACAGAGTGGAGGGGGAGAAACATTAAAGTGGAAAAATGTCGAGAGGGGGGGAACAGAAGAGTGATTCACAGATTTACAGGAGACAGACAGACACAAAGTTAGAGAAAAAGGCAAGGTGAGTTGAGTACTGTGGAAGTGGTCGAATATGACATACAGTGGGGTGATGGTAATTTGAAGTGAGAAGTCAACTGCCGGTTTCCAGACTTTTTTGGGGCATAAGTATACGTTGCCCAGGATGCACCACGTAGAGGTAATTCTATCGCACAACCCGTAGGCATCAATTTTTTAACTTCACTAACTGCAATTATGGAATCGCGCAAACTTGGCGTTCCCCTCGGGAGATGGAGTGGGGCATTTTCTATCTTCATTTTTTGAAACCCCCCCCCCCTCCCCACCCTTACTTCGGTCTGTTTAACAGATGAATCTCAGTTTTAATATCACGAAATAAGTAGAATGATGAGCTTAACCATCAAAATTAAGTATTAGATAGAGCTAGAAAATGAAGTTAATGGGTCTCTGAAAAAAACTATGAAATGTGTAAATTGATCTAATTGATAAAATTTCGGTCTTCTAAAGAAAGACTTTACTCGGTAAGCAATCCGAATTGTCGTTCCCAATTTTGAATACGTTTTATAGGTGCAATGTTAGTGTATAACTTAAAATATGGCCCGGTTATATTCATTCTACTTACAAATGTATGACGGACACGATTAAACTCAATGTCTAAAGGACGGTTTTGATAGTATTAAAATTTGCCCGTCTGGCCTTTTTATTCTTGGGCCTTTTTAAACCCGAATGCTTTACAAATCAAATATTTATGTAAATATGGGGGTGTACGATAGACTTACCCCCACGTGGTGCACCCTGGTCAACGTATACTCATACGGCAACAAAAGTCTATTAACCGTCAGTTGACTTCTGACTTCAAACTACCATGACCCCACTCTATGTCATATTCGACCCCTTCCACAGTACTCACCTTACCTTTTTCTCTGCCTTTATGTCTGTCTGCCTCCTTTACATCTGTGACACTNTTCCCTAAGAGGTAATGCTATCATTTGATGTGGCAATTTCCTGAATAAAATACACCCATCCGTCCCAAATCATATTTCCCTGCAAGTTAATGACAACTTTACCCCCCATTGAGATTATTTTTATTAAAGTTAGCATTATTTATTTATTTCAAATGGCAGGCGTTTTGATAGCTATCATTAGCCATTTAGCTGACTTCAGGCTTCACAGAGGGAAGGTTCATCAAAGTAGAAGAAAGTCGAGGGGTGGGGTACAGAAGAGCGATTCACAGATGTAAAAGAGGCAGACAGACACAAAGGTAGAGAAAAAGGTAAGATATGTACTGTGAAAGGGGTCAAATATGGCAAGCAGTCGGGCCATGGAAGTTTGAAGTCAGAAGTCAACTACCGGTTAATAGACATTTTTGCCGTATGTGTATACGTTGCCCAGGGTGCACCACGTGGAGGTAAGTCTATTTCACACCCCAGTTAGCATCATTATTTATAAAATTTGAGAGATACGAATCTTACCAAAAGAATTTAACTCATAACTGAAGAGTGATGTTTACTTTAAGTTTTATCAAAGTGGAGAGAATACTGTATTCTCTCAGAATATTCTAGAAAGAATTAATTGAGTTATTTGCTAAAGGTACTTGAGCCACCACACCTCACCACAAAATAGCGATCACTTTTTTCTAATTTGCTGAATAGAGGATTTCAGTCACTTCGCCAGCCATACATCTCTCTTTAACTACAAATTGAACCATGAGGCTGTTGCATAAAATTTTTTTGCAATTGCCCCTTTTGAGGTGGAGAATGAATGCCTCTCCAACTGAGCATTTCAGTTTATTCTTATTTGCTCTTTACTCTTGGTTTTGCTAACTCTGCCAATTCCATTTATACACTTGAATGAGAGCTAATCAGGTAATCAGTCATTGGCATTACTTTTTTCTGTACAAGTTGAAGAGATCACGCATATGCACTGTCGCTTAATCTTCTCTCATTACCACCAACTATCATTTCCACAATAAGACAAAGAAAGAGCAAAAATGGGTCATAAATCACAAAAGGGCTAAAGGAAGTTGGGGGATGGGCAAGATGGGCCGAGATGTGCTCGAGAGCTGATACGTAGGGATTAGTGTATGTGCTAAGGAGAGAGAGGCGAATTATAAAATTAATGTAAAAACAAGTAGACTGGAGACACACAAAAGTCAGAGCTTTTGGTCATATTCCTCTTAGGTCACATCTGATTCAAGTGTAGGGGAGTTCACAATCTTATGAACAAACAAAATAATGAAGGTTTGCCTAATTAACAAGTATTCTTTTCAATGAATTCCAAATGAAAATGGAGATAAGTAATGGTAAAGATATTTTAATTAAAAAATTGTTCCTTTCGGTAGACCTCTTCGATTTCTGACTTTTGCAACGATTTCTTTCGAGGGATTTCTGTTCGAACATTTTTGTTAAAAAAGTATTTAATGACAGTAGAGTGTAAATGACCTCTAGCACATACCGTATGCTTGTTTTTCATCCGTATGGGTTTTGTCGGTATTGCACCCTAAGTTACGACTGCCAACTAAAAGAGAAGGGAATGTCGCAAATCAACCTAGATGACAGCTACATAAGAAAGGATTTATATATATATATATATATATATGTGTGTGTGTGTGTGTGCTTTCGATTTTTAAGACATATTGGAGCATAATATGCTATTTTGCTTTCGCCCTGTCTGAAAATATTTTCTCTTAACTATTTTGTGTAAATATATTCCAAAGCGGTTTACATATTTTACAAATACTACTTCAAATAGTTAGGCAGTTTATCATCCTTCAGTCTTAATTGTACTTTGGCATTTATCTTATTTAGGTCACATCTGAAATCCTCCTACTTAAAGTGGACGGAAATATCAAACTACTTTGAATGCAATAGAGCTGCCAAGTAGGTAATAGACCACCAGTGACGTTCATATCTCTTAGAAATACTTTAGTGGGTAATAATATGTATCTTGAATGTCAAAACAGTNCCCCACCCAAATTTTTTATCCACTTTGATGTTCCTCCCATCTGTGAAGCCCGATGTCAGTTAAAAGGTTAATAATAACTATCAAAACGCCTGCCATATATATACATATATATATATATATATATATATGCCAGTTAACGCATATTCTTTTGAAGCTTCAATTCTCAAGAATTCTGCCTCAAGTCTGCGTAGAAGCTTTAAGAAACTAAAATTGTATTATGTATTTAATGATGTGTTATTTTAGGAGTTAGACAAGCTGTAGATAACTTCTCCCTCTTGTATTACTGGAAGGACACTTAGAGAACAAAATAAATAATATTGCCACCAATAAGTAGACTTATTTAGGCGGACTCTTTAGGATTCTCCTTCGGTTAAATGGGGGCAGGCTGTTTTCATCGAACGGCAAAAAAGAGTACCTCAAATGCCGGCTAAAACTAGCAGCATCAGTCGAATACCCCAACCACCAATCAATTGGGGGGGAAAGTTGACGTACCATAATGAGGAATACATTCCAGTAGAAGTAGCCGGGTCGACGGGCAGCTCTACATGTCACAGATATGCAGGGATGCTTCTGCGAGGAACTTGTAAATTCCTGTAGAATTGATTGTTTCGTGATTTCTATGTGTTCATGAAGCCGCCATTCCTAGAGGGCAAATACGCAAACTATCATTTTGAATACGCAACTTTTTACTTTCTTTTCTCCGATTGCACGCATCTTTCCAATGCAACTAAGCACCTCATCACTGCGTAGAAATGCGCTTTGGTTACCTTTTTTTAAAAGGGCCAATTGGCTAAGAAGGTCAATAATGAAAAGGACTTTTGTATTTTGCAATTGAATGAGGCATCACGTGATGTGTTAGAAGTCAAAATTTTGATAAAGATGCAAGTCAATATTGACGTCATTCCTCAGACTACGTGATTTTAAGGAATATAAAAGCTTTATTTGCTTGCATAAATTTCAAAAGTCGGTGTTTTTTTTACCATTTTACATAGCTGTGCTTATGAATTGATTGGTGATATTTTCATGTCATTCAGGTCTCAAAATTTAATTATATATTCACCCAGCTCAGTGGTTGAAATACTAGAAATTAAAAATCATGAATATATTACAACAAATTTGTGGGACACGTTATCGCTGTGTGCGTCTCGTATGCCTGCATGTCTGCTCGCCAGGATTGGGAGGTGCGCCGTACAACTCTGTGTGCAGCGACCGTACAAACAGTGACCAATCATCAACCTCTGTTTAACCTAATCCCCCATCCTGATCATGAATAGCTCCCTGCGTGTACACACTTTATCCGCAATACCCGTACTGAATAAACGTGTTCCGTGCTACACGTCTGTTTCCTTGATAGCTGGGCTATAGCTTAGCTGGTTCTGGGAGTCTAGCTAGATGTAGGAGGATCTGCCATAGAGATTTCTGAGTCAGTCAGACTTTAACTAAGGTAGCAATCCGCTACAAACTACAATCAGAATCAAATGATAATCCTGATGTCTTAACTGGATCTTGGACAGAATCTACTATATCCCAGGAGCCAATGGCATTTTGCTAGAATGCTCAATGATATGCTTGCTGAGTACACCCTGTAATACTCAAACAGACGGATTCCTTACAGCGAACTCTTTATCCCACCACCTAGCTATCTGACGTTTCTATCGGTCTCCCCGCAAACTCTTAACTTGACAACGCAATGCTGTCCACATACGAAGCGTTCTCACTCGAGTCTTTAGGGTCTCTTTTACACAGTTCCAAATGTGTCGCAATAACAGACGGGAAATTGGCTTCATTATACTACGCTTTTTTCCCAGAAAGGAGTCATTATAATTTCAAGTCAAAAGAGGGAAGGATATCCATGTCGCTTCCTTTTGGAAGATGAAGTGTCAGATTTAGTTTCAACTGCCAGGGGGGTTCACGTTTTAAAAAATTGGACAGGTTTTTTGGAAATCGAATTTCCATGATTTCAGAAGTGCCGGATGCTGTTTAACCACCTCGTCTTCCAACCTATCTTTTACTAGACCACAGTCCCGAAACTTTGGAAATAAAATTTCAGTGTAAAATTAATAAGAACTAATAAGTAACTGGAGCATATGAGGCCAATTATTTAAAGAAAATTTTCACCATCCAACACAAATCTAAATAATTAGAAAGTAATATAACAGCTAGGACTTTATGCGTACTTGTTGATCGACGAAGCTCTGAAGGTTAATTCCACAAAGATCCGTATTATCAGGCACCAAGTCCACCTCGGTATCTGGTCTCTCAGACGATAGAGTAATCGTCAAATCCTAAAACAAAATCATGGGTTAAAATGAGACTAATATGGAAATGATTGTCAATTATAATCTTGACAATTTTTATATCAACCTAGAAACATTCTAAACTGATATATATATATATATATATATATATATATATCNATCTCTTGTCTGAATCTGAAATTCTAACTCAGTAACACCCTTCTCCATTTGAACACTATGTCATTATAAATGTGACTGAGGTCGTTTAATAGCATCTGATATGCTCAATGAATGTTTTAAATAGGTACCTTAAATAAAGTCACTCCTGTAAAGAAGTATGCATTTGTTAAACTTATTTATTTATTTCAAATGGCAGGCGTTATGATAGCTATCATTAGCCATTTAGCTGACTTCGGGCTTCACAGAAGGAAGGTTCATCAAAGTAGCAGAAAGTCGATGGGTGGGGATCAGAAGAGCGTTTCACAGATGTAAAAGAGGCAGATAGACACAAAGGTAGAGAAAAAGGTAAGATGAGTACTGTGAAAGGGGCCGAATACGACAAGCAGTCGGGCCATAGTAGTTTGAAGTGAGAAGTCAACTGCCGGTTAATGGACTTTTTTGCCGTATAAGTATACGTGGCCCAGGGTGCACCACATGGAGGTAAGTCTATCGCACACCCCGCATTTGTTAAACTAAATTTTGTGCTAATGGGCACATACCTATACACCAAGCATGTGATTGAAACAATAGCAATAATCGCCAGATAGTAAATGGATTCCTCTTTACTGTATAATACTGAGAGGTTTCAGAGATTGCTTCCATGTATAAAGTCTGCCATCCTTCATGAACAATGAGGAGTAGAAATAATGTTCCAAAAATCACTAATATATTCAGGGTTTTGTAATAGAGTAAGTAGGATTGAAGACATTCGAAAGGGCACAATTGATGCGACCCTATTTCCAATTATTCACCCTGTCTATGAATTTTCAGTCAGAAATCGACTGATGAGAGTAATCATTGAACGTGGCTTCAAAAATATTAGTCTGTTTGCAAAAAGCGAGGAATAGATAAGACAAATGTCAACGTCAGTCAGTTATGGGTGTCAAATGGCCCTAAAATTAATCCAGGGAAGGGAAATTTGTGATGGGGTGAGTTCGTGAAATTTACCTTAAAGAAATTAAAAAATAATTGCCTGAGTAGACAGGAAGTATGGCAATCACACAATTACTTCAAGCTTATGCATAAGGTACAATTAATCTTGGACGATTCTTTGCAGAAATCGCTGAATGTCGAGATTCAATACCAAAAAGAGGCGCCAATGATTTGATATTGGAGATCCTTGAATGAGAAGTATCTTGGGGAGGGGG